TCCCCTGAAGGTGTTGCAGATGAAAGGGAAAGAATGACGATGGACAAAGGAGCATGAACGATCCTTTGATACAGCTAAGGCTGCGCTTAGTTCTGGTTTTCCCTTGATACACTTCAAGCTACACTTGGAGATGATTTTTGCTTCGGACGCCTCCAACTATGGGGTAGGTGCTGTGTTTCCAGGAGGAGAAAAGAAGACGATTGCGCACGTAGTACGGTCGCTGACAGTGGCGGAGAAAAATTAGAGGCAGATTGAGAAGGAAGCGCTTGCGATTGTTTTCGCATTGAAACGGTTTCAAAAGATGCCATTTGATAGACAATTCAAACTGATCAAGGACCACAAACCTTTCGATATTTGAATCAAAGAAGGGTATTCCTGTTTTTATAGCAACTCGGTTACAGAGATGCGCAACTGTACTGATGGCTTGTGATTTCAGTATACAATACCGACATACGCAACACCTCGGCCAAGCTGGCTCTCTATCAAACCTCATGAGTTCACACTAGAAAGAAAACGATGACTCCGTGAGTGCATCTGTCAAATTCGAGTCGGAAGTTCAGCGGATCCTGGTTGTCAGTGTAATGGAGTTGGCAGTAACTTCGGACATGATTCGAGTCGAGACGGCTTAAGAAGAGACCTTCCTGAAAGTGATAGGGCATGTGCAGTCCAGTTGGCCTAATGTCAGAAATTCGACGGGCTTACGATTTTTCTTCAGTAGACGCGGATCTCTTTCAGTCATTGACGATTGCCTAGTGTTCGGAGAGCTACTGAACTCAGCCAACTCTCTCCTTACAAAATCTTCAAGGTGTAATTGTGTGAACCCGAGGGATATTAGCGGTCCTTTAGCAAGACCCTTTTTCTGAGTGCATACTTTCGACTAGTAGGTCACCAGTGCACTCGTTTGATCTATTTTTAAGTAATCCTCTCTCCCAACTCGTTGTTATCAGTTACAGTGCCTCGTTATCTCAAACGCGTCTCAAGTTTGTATGTTTGTAAAGAGCGAGCTAACGTCAAAACTAACCATCATTTCATCCCACTCAACATTAACGTCAAACAATTTTCGCACGAACTCATAAGAGTGGCGGACTTTCTTAACCTGATCAGTTTGAGGAGAATAAACGGACGGAACCGGAACAGAGAGGGAATACCAAATTACCACCACATCCATCAATGATAGAGCTTACGTGTGTTGATCTTGCAACCTGGACCACTTAGGATCGTTCCACCACCTGAAGAGACCGTTTGACTTGATACGCCAGCATCCTTCTCCTTACATCCAAGTAATCACGATAATCTTCCTAGTTTGCTATAAGCGCTACATCAATCGTCCACAATTTCACGCGGACAGACAATGCTCTTAATTCAGAAATGTAAGGTTACTCACAAACTAGACGAAGCGGTAGTTTTCAGAGGAAAATTTAGGATGTTGACTGATGTTTCTTTCAGCTAACGTAACACTGGGGAGAAGTGACATGATAGAGGAGCATTCCATCGTCTTCAGGTTGCCTGAAACTATGTATTAGTAGAATTCACCTTGCCCAACATGTTCTCTTTCCAAACGCAGTTTGAACTATATGTTACTTGAACAGAATAATGTGTTACTTTAGTGTCGACACCAGGGTTAGGCCGATCCATGAGACTTGTATAAGCAGTTAAGCATATTTATTCTTGTCACTGTATTTGTGGTCGACAAATTAAACATGAAGTTACAAACATCAAAAGCGGAGCAGGATAAAAGAACATGCTTCACCGTACAACGTCCAGGCGGTGCTAGCTGGATGGTTCGGATTAATCTTGTTGTAACAAATATTTCGGTGACAGTGTTCCAGGACATGGTGGGTTTCCGCCTGGCAAGCGTTCTCCTTATAAAAAGCCACAAGTATCTGTTTAACAGCACTGCCTCTTAGCGAATGTGGCTAGTCACCAAATTCTGTACGGCCTATTCCGTATACCAGTTGTCTTACCCAATCCACGGACGTCAATCATGCACTAACACTGTTTCCTTTAACCCCTCCTCATGCGGACAACCCGATCAAAACGATCAAAAGACGGAGTTACATTTACAAATTCTATCAACACAGACACACATTATTAACTGAATAGATCCATACGCACCTATCACAAAGATACACGTGCTACTGATAAACTTATGTCGTATTTAGTATTAACCGGTCCTTAATGTTTGTGTCACCATGCTCATGCCTATGCAGCCGTGTCTCGCATCGTCCAGAATAAAACATGTATTCATATACGTACTGATGGCTGTACTGCTGGCAAAGTGGGACGTATGCAGTGGACTGCATACTTTTGCTGAGACACCTGAGGAGCCTGGGTCATGTGTGGGGTATGGATTCAACGCGGATATCGAAACAACTATTATGTGTCCAGCTGAGTATTGGGAAGCGGCATGTGGGGAAACCAAAGTTACTTTACCAGGACATGATCAAAGTGAGCCTCTCACGTTCGAATCTTGATGGCAGGTCATGGGAATCGAAGGCGGTTGATCGGCTTGCATGGCGTGATCTGATAACGAAGGCAGTTGCCGAAGTGCGGGAGAAAGACCTCATACATGCAGAGAAGAAGCAGCAAGTGCTGAAGCGGTAAGCACCGATGGGTTGTACTCCATCGATATTGAGCGCATGGTGCTGTAGCACATGCGGTCGCGAGTGTCTGAATCAGGCAGGCCTAGTGAGCCATAAGCGAGGCCACTCGGGACCACTACGGAAGCGACGACGGGTCCTGCAGAGAACGTAGGCAGAACCGGCGCAGCTTTTGTAGGCACGCTGCATTCGAGTTACTAACCGCGTGCTTGCGTGCTGTCTCTTTGTTTCAGGTGGTGGGTTTGCAATGTTGTCCTAATGTTTTTCTTCCTCATATAAATGTCTACCAGTACTCTCGTCTATAAACTTGCACACGTCGCTAAAGCCAAATGTAGTTAATTTCGATAACTTTTTCGGGTTCGTGCCATTTCCTCACAATATACTTTCTGAGCTCGTGAACTTATCTCGGATTCGTCTGTAAACAACTTATTTCATATGCTCATTAATTTATGATTTATGTCACCCTCTCCTTATGCATTGCTCGATTTACTTTATTTGTTATCTTTCTCTCAACTGATTGACTGTTGCTTGATATCCCCGGTGAGGCTGCGCTTGATGTGCATGTTGACAAGGTGCCTACCTGTCTATTACCCACTACCTCGTCCATACTGGCTCCAGGAGACAGTTGGCCGTTGCTGTAGGGGACAGGGTGCACGGTCCTTGTGGCCGTGTTAGGATCAAAGATTGGTTTCATGCACTCAGTTTGGAGCGGACTACGGTCCAGGCACCACTTTATGCGCGCTTGATTTCCCAAATACAGCGTGCCTGTGTTTGCCTTTGAAGTAGTGAGGGCTGGCTAACATTGATGAAACGTGGCTCCCATCCACCTGTCTCCCGGTCTTATTCCTTCGGGTTTACACTGGCTACGGGGGTGTGTCGTTGGAGCTGTGGGTGGTGCAGCGCAAGCCACTCATGGCCTGTGTAGGCGCAGGCGTCCTGTGGCTGGCCACAGTGACAGGCAAATCCGAAACCGGATATCACCAACCGCTGCTGGCATCAGAATCGTCTCATTTTGTACAGCCTTTTTTCTCTTTGCCATGGGCGTAGAGGAAATTATCAAGTACCTCTTCCAGTTCGCACTGGATAGCATGTCATCTATTGCATCTGTCTCCATGGCGGTGAATATTTAAATAGTATGCCTCATAAAGTTACTTATGATGATCACTGTGCGAAAGCATCTACAGCTCCGTAAACTGTTGAAGCTTGTATTAAGATGACAAAATCTGATGAAACTTACCACAGCTCTTAGGCTACACAGACGTTCAACATTTACATGAGCTAGATCCAGACCCAGTGAGATGAATCCCCGAGATTCCGCACAACTTTAATTGCAGGCCATACTGTGATTGTGTAAGGCCATCCGTTAGTGTAACATGTGCTTTGAAATGAACTCGTGGCAGATGTGCACGCCATGCTCAGCGCGATTGTATTAGTAACGACCCATCCTCGTCCAACAAACACTTTCCGCAGTATTCCCTAATTTCCAAATCATAGGTATATTCATGATTGTTTTTTCAATTCATATCAGGCGATTCGTGGGTATGTGTTTTCAAACGGACTGAGCAAGCAACAAGACCAAGCACTCAAGTCATAAATTAGCAATTCAATTAGCGGCATTCTGTAAGGCATTGGTGCTCAAGCTATGGCTCGCGAGCCGAATCCGGCTCACCAACGCATTCCATCTATCTCACGGACCATCGACCAGCCTCGTAGATTTTCACTTTGGGGGTTGGTGGAGATAGCTCCTGATCAATTAATTTCCAGCGGCATATGTTTTAGCGGAGGACAGAATCTATCCGGCCAGCGCGCATTTTCGCTATATTTATTCTGGCTCGCAACAACAAAATGGTTGAGCACCAGTGACGTAAGGATTTAAGTTTGTAACCCTGAACCCTTTTTCTGCTGTAGAACTTATACGAGACTGTATTACTGCAAAGAAATGTCCTTTGCTGCAGTTTACGACTTGCTTGTTACTATGAAGTAAGCATGACAAAAGTGGGTTTTGGTATTCCTATGAAAATCGCTGGTGGTACTCGCTATGATTTCTATAACGCATGCCAATAAATACTTAGGAGATTTAACAAACGCGACATGAAAACTTCAACTGTTCTGTCACTTCACACAACGCTTTAAGTCCGGAGAAACTGATGATACTGTGAGATTTTGTAACATAATTGCGCAATAACAGATTAGACGATCAAAACTAGGGTATGCGCAAGCAAAATAGTTGGCGATTATCAAACACTGGCGAATATAGCACTTTAAATGTCTATTAAATCGTGCTTTCGAATGTATAAACCAAATTCGATCTTTGCGTGTACCTCGCTTTAATTATAAATGCTATTTGCTCGAGGCTACACACTAGGTGTCATGTCACTGCTCTGACAATTTATCACATTCCAGTGGAGGCGAACAGCAATGGTATCATCCATGCGACGGCAAATTTCACAGGAACCAGATGGGATCTCTATGGTGTACACCAGATCATTTCAGACCAAGTCAAATTTACAGCTCAACTCTCATATCTCCACGGAAATGCGACTGTCGTATATCGATCCTCTCAGAATGGCTCATCAAAGCTAATGATCTACAGTGCGCATAAGGATTGGCCGTTTCAAATGCAAAGTGAGTTGTCGTCACACAACGGATGTTACTGCTTGTACGTTTCTCGGTTACCCGAAAAGTGAGCATTTGCGCCAGACTTTTTGTTGGTATGGACGGATTGTCGTGACAAACAGTGAAGCACGTTGTTATTTTCACTGAACAAATATTTAGAAAAATGATATACATGCTCACCTAAGGATGTTGTGTAGTCACATACATCCAACAAGCAGGATGAAGGTAGCGCAGTATCGTTGCTATTATAATTCGTAGGGAAATTTTAGTCATTTTCATTGACTCTGGACATGAATTGTAGCACGCATTCACAGGAATTATGCAATATTACTGTACACTTGTATAAATAGAAAGCATTGCTCCTTTGTTTACAAACCTAGTTTTACGATGCATGTACCGTCAAACATTTTTCTTGATCGATCTCAAAATAATGTAAGAAAATGCCATAACGAAGTACTTGTAAATCTGTCGAACGTGCCTATTCCGGCCTATTTTTTACGTAACTAATTAATGAAGAAATGTGTCTTTTCTGAGTTGTCACATACGCGACACTAGCATCACTAATCGCATTCCAATGTTACAAGAATAATGATGTATATTCCTCGTGGTACCGAGAAACTGAGCCCACAAAGATGCGGATCATACGTATGCCTTTAAATAGTTGTCGTCTTGACTGTTTTGTAGTCTATTCTGTGCTTACTAATACATCTTAACTACTCGCATGCGGATACCGAAGAGCTATTTCCAGATGGTGCTAGCGGTCACTAACTCAGAAGCGACGTCCAAGAAACAAACGTTCGAGAATTCATGTCTCCGCAGTAGCTTACCGTGACCGTATCACACGGCTCCAACCATAAAGTCATGGCACTTCCGTTATATAAAAACAAGCTGAAACTACTAGAACTAACCGGACTTCCATTACTTACATTGTCATGTGCGATCAGACACTACAATTCCCTGGTTTTAACAAAACAAACGAACCTCAACTGCGTCAACCGTGAACCATTAACTTAATCTGTTATCTACCAGTGTCCTGTCTACGAAGGACCCATGTATGGACCGGCATATGCTGAACCGAAGCATTCACGTGATTCGACTCACATCCAAAGCTAATGTAGGTGTAACACAAAAACAAGGTAACATTTTTCTTTCTCCAGGGCTAACAAACCACACAACTATTTCGAGGAAAACAAAGTACACGAAAAGTTAATTTGGGAAATAACCGGTTACGACCCGCATTTCCCATTTCAGCTATACATAACTGACGAGCGAAAGCAAGGACAAGCTGTTGGCAAAGTGGTCAGCTGACCGCATGTAATAGTCCTGAGAAGCTCGTGATTCTCTCCCTTACTTATAAAAATTAACTACTTTTCGATTGGTAATTTACATAACAATTAAGTCGATTTCATGACCAATTTGTCGCATCTTTCTTTGCAGCGACTATTTTTGAGCGATTCGAGACCGCCTGCTACATATTTAAGTGACATTTCTCGCACCTTACTACGTCTATCGTCCCGTTGTTAGGATGACTGACCTACCAGTAATGCTTTCATTCTCCACCATACCAAACACAGTTGCTTCCCTAGACTTTTTGTCACATATTGCTTAGTAGGCGCATAACAACAAGGAAATTAAAGTTTTAGTTCACCCCCACATTTTAGTGAAATGTATACGGTGCGCACACTAAGGCGACAAATAATTTGTTTACCTTCAATTCAGCTTTAAGGAAATGGCTGTTGATAAAGGAAGTAGGACTAGGGCACGTCGATAAAATAATCAAACCTGCAAATCGGTCTCTTGCTAAAAAATGCAAGAAATTCGTACGCTGTTCAAATCGCAGTACTCACGCAGTTACTTACAGGCATATCTCATATAACTACAGCAATGTAAAAGAATGATTAATATGTGTTATTTGCGCTTAGGGTTTACTATCCAACATATTCAGTCACTGAGCTACCTATTTGAAGATAATGCTATTGTAATAGCTATGCCAACCGGTGTCACTGGTGGTAACGCCACAATTAGACAAAACAAGTTTGCATTGCTACGGACCAGTTAGTCTAGGATAACTCAGCGTAGTTCTGTTATTGTCTGCACCCAGTCTTCTAGTTTTCTGGGTTGTGATCTAAACATCTTTGGATAACGTTTCTTGAATATAGTCTGCTCAAACTTCAAGTTATTAATTCGATACAATGGTATACATACTAGCAGACAACCGACATTGAGTGCCAATTACTGACATGTATGAAATAAATATTCATTAACGATTACTTTAAGGATCATGGGACAGAAAGTTCAGCAAACTGTTGGGGTTGGAAGGAAACTGCCATCTATCCCGTAGATCATACCGACTGGGAATCGGGAGGAAGATTAATCCAGTTTTTCCAGTCTGATAATGCAGTGGTTTATGGATCCGTTTGTGCTTTCGTGCATGCGCTAGGACATTTCCAGTCTTAAACGAAATTAGTCTTTAGACTCACCACTTGGTCAGTAGCAATGAATTTTTATCTACGTCAACATTTAAACCTTTTGCGGTGCGTTCTGACACTCTCATGGATTATTCTGTTGAGCCAGGAGAATAATTATTTTCCTCCAGCAAATTATGACCACACTTAATGATAATTCGCCTCCCTCCTTTGTAGTCAGTCGATCAATTGCGTGGACTCAGGAAAAGCAATTCATTTTAGGCAATCATGATAGAAAGTGAAAGATGATGAACTTGCGAGTTGATCCAATCTACTCCACTAGACATAGCAACTTGCTACAACTCACCCGTCAAGTGATGGATAAAATCATTCATAAACGTAGCATAGAGTCAAATACAGGGGTTAATTTAGGTTATAATTTTTCGATTTTCTATTCCAGCAGTGCACAAAGGTTTTTAGCCTGGTAATTTCATCACCACAGCACATACACTGGTTTACACTCGCAAATTAACGTAGGTATTTAGAATTTTCTTTTACTTGCATATTATATATGCCAAGTTATGTTTGCCGCACAAATAATTAATATCTATTTATATCTATTTGGTCTATTTCTGGGCCAAGATATGGTCGACACCAGGGTGAAGCAGTGTTACGGATTTTTGGGGGGTCTGCGAAAATGGTTTGCTATCTTCTTTCTCTACATCCAGTGAGGCAACTGTCCATACGGTCACAACATCCGCACTATCCACTATTCCATCGCACTCATCAAGAGGTGTTCCTTACAATGGGACACAACCGCAGTGCAAGTTTACAAGCGGAATGGAACATCGGCTCAAGGAATGGCGAACTCCGACAGGGAGTCGTGATACTGCGTCATCATTCCCAGCCTGGTGTCACCGATCTACGAATTGACATCATCTGGACAGAGGGAGATCAACCTAGTGAACTGTATTCTACCGTTCAGACTTATTCCAGAAGCTTAAAAATGTGAGTCCGGGGATCGGTAGTAGATTATTTCAATTAATAAGGATAAAGTAAAAATGTATGGGGTTCACTAAATCTTATGCCTAACAAGACACACCCAGATGATCGTATATCGTAAAATAGCGGACCAAATGATTTTTGTTGGACATATGTGGTGCACTTCAACAACATGCTTCCGGTGTCAGTCTCAAATGGGTTTGGTGTGCAATTCCCATACAATTGTATCGTCAAAACGTACAGGATAACATCAGTGGCCAGTAGGTGAATTACAATTGGTTTTCATTTGCAAGAAAAGAAAACACGTTCAATCAACCGGCATATAAGTAGCAGCTTCACTGCACATACGTTGATTAGAAGTGACAAGGTCACATTATTTAATATCGGAAAGATTTTGGTTAACAGCTATTATTTACCTTGTCAAATCAATTTGTTGGATGCAATCTACTAAACATGCGTAAACATTAGTTCGATCATTCGTTGAAACTTATGTTAATAGGCACATTGCCAGTCACACTGGAGCAGTAGATTTATGGGTTTATCTCGGTTGACAAAACGAACAGCTTCCAAGTCCAGTAGATGAAGAGGGCAGTCTCAACAATTAGTTTTCGGAGACAGTAAGTATAGGTAAATTCACCGCAGTGTTTATGTATGTGCGCAATTTGATAAAATTATGTGCTATTCTAATAACAGGTAAATCACGTAATGTGGTTGGTGTAGCTCAAGTAGGATTTTGTATTCGGTTAAGTTGGGAGCAGAAATAATAACATCTGGAACATAGTTCAACGACTGAGAAACACTTAGGGAGAATAAGTCCTGTTGACATTTCAACAGACTTCACTGATTGGTTACATTTAAATGGTGCATTCTGAATGAAGTTTCCTGGTTACGTTTTATAGTGTGAGGACATGTATGGTTTGGATCTTGAGAAGCTAATAGCTAATATACCAGCATTCGGCATATATCGATACTTCCACATGAAAATCCTAGACCCTTCAGTCTAGTTTGGTAAGGGAGACACCATAAGCTTTTGCGTTCATAGTTATCCCACATTGTTGAATCTCAAGAGCAACAATGACATGTTCTTGATCAAAAGGCTTGAGTTCCGATGGCGCAGCGCATATACGGTCCCATAAACGTTTGTAATTTGTCAAAAGATGGTAAGATAACAATGACCAAACGAGCTCAGTTGAAGGTTTAAGCGACACAGCGATTTTTACGCCTCCTGAATTGGGCAACAGATTGTCCCGTACGAGTACAACAAGAGTAACTTAACTAGAAGCCCACTGCAAGCAGTGTGATCCTAGTCAGTATTCACAAGTTCTCTGATTTGTTATGTTCCTCACTTTACATTCGATATAGCGCTAAACTGAAACATGTTCTAAGCTGATCAATCATAAGGCCTGTTGAGACAAACTTACGGCGATATATTATCACCTACATGTTGATGTCGCCAACAAGGTATAAACGAGTGAGATGACCAGTTCTGCAAATTCAGTTATCAACAACAAGAATAACCATGATTCTATTAGCGAGCGTCGTGAAGCGTCCCAATATATCAACATCGGTCAGCTGAGGGCCATGAATTGCTACATTAATGCGGCATTCGCGTAGGCATGTAAGTATGCAGTCCGTAAGATGATTCCCCTCTCGCACATTCTTGAAGTTTGTGGAAAAGAATGCGCCGATCCGGATTTTGAAAGGCCTTGGAGAAAACAAGGTAGCAAGAGTCAATTATTTTTCTTAATTAAAAAATTCCGTCCAGTTGACACAAGCTAGCAGAGAGTTGATGCTGCAGCGGTTTCGGTGAAAGGCGTGCTGCTCTGGTATAATGATTGCGCATGTTTCAATTACCCCATGATTCCTCCTGCAATGAGTGCTTCTAACAATTCACGGACCCCGGAATGATGAGCCACCAGGTGGTAGTTTGGGGGCTTTAGCATGAATGTCTCATGCTTTTACATAGTAGGGAATTATATTCCGTCGAGATAGTCTTAGGAGAACCTAGACAACAGTTCAGCCAAGAACCTGGCAGAAATCTTCAATGGCATGGAGTATATCTTGCCAGCACCAGAAGACGTGCCCACACAATGACGTCGTTTACTTCAACAATTTCATGTCAGTGAATGAGTTGTGGCAAATCACGTTCTTGGCGTAATCTATGTGGAGATGATCTGAAATGACAGTATGCTCTGGAAATCAAGTGGAATCGTTATCAAAGGGCGTCACTTGCCTCTTATGCAGGCAGCGCTTGCTCACATGCAGTGTCTAGAGTAGCAGTGACTCGTGGCAGTTTGTGGAGTTTTTGATGGGATTGTCACATCATAGTGAACGGATGGACCAAACAAGCGAACCAGAAAACCAATGGGAGACGAACGTAACGGATTCGACAACTGGACACGGATAGGCCGACATTCCTGCGAGTTACTCATCGTTTGTTTAACTTAGACAAAATATGAACCTCATCGATTCAAATGGGTCGTTAGCTATGGACGTGAACGTACAAGCGATATCGAGGGGTTTGGCTTGCCAAACATGCTGTAATCTTCGCCTAGCTGTCTTTGTCGAATAAACGCTTGTCCCCGAAGGACCGATTTCTCTAACATTGTTGACATGCCAGGAAATTAACTTACGGTTGCACATGAATTCTTCAATAAATACTTTTGGTGTTTCAAGTTATCTTCACTAATTAGTGTGATACTACGGTTTCACGGCGTCCCATTCTTTGCCGTTTGAAGTGATATTATATAGTTGTTAGAAAGCATCCCTCTAATTTATACGTCTCGGTGTCATACAACTTTGGATACGCTATAGCCGTTTGAGACAGTGCTTACATTATGTTATGTATTTGTTACATCCATACTGAAATGGCTGAGGAATTCCTCTTAAGATACATCAAGAAACTTATCAGTCAGGGAGAAGCAAACAGTGACTTTGATAAGATCCTACGGAATGCTCCGATGCGTTACGATACACACTTCTCCAATGCCGCAGTTGAAGTATGCTGTGTAACAAAAGCACAAAGAAAGCAACGTTACATGATCGTTGCTCCTAAAGGGGCTAGTCACAGTTACTCCGTAGATTTGCAAGTGCCGTGTTGTAAAACAGAAGGACCACAGTGACCGATTTGTCTCTTTTCCTGAATATCGCATGGGACGTACAGTGATTATCAAGTGATATGTCAGAAACTATCTAAGAATGTTTCACCCCATAGAAAGTCGGAAACTCTGAAGCGTGCATCTGGAAGACTGTCACAAGGAGAAAGTTACTGTACGAATGTACCAAGATTGTTGTTTTAGCAGAAGGGGGTATATTGTTCCCGTTAACCTACTTGGCTACTTTTTATTTTTAGGCGGAAACAAAGCGAGTAGACAACGTCAAACCGCGAGTCAGCAACAAGTTCGCGTTGCAGATTATTGCAGTGCTGCTAGACAACAACATTACCCCTGGTGTAGCGATCTCGGGTTTAATGGTTTCCTCGTTCAGCCAGAAATCGGTTATGATGATCCGATCCCTACTCTAAGTACTAGACAGTTGCACCCCCGAGAGTGGTCAAAGTGACCTAACCTAGTGAATGCAAGGCTAGTGGCTAAGGTAATTTTCCAAAATGTCGATAGTAGCAAATCACCAATTGATCTGTGCGATAATTACCAATCAGGCTGCGTCAAATGACTGTTGATAAGCGTGCTTCTACAAACTTATACTTAGAGTTAGTCGGTTGTAACTCCGTTAAGAAAAGGGCTAGCTGTCTACATTGATTTTTTATGATGTAGTACCCATTTTAATCGCAGTAACTAAAACATTTTGTTGAAATATCAAGCGTCAGTTGAAGTTGTCAAGTTATTTCCTAGAATAACTTTTCGATGGCTTCAACAGATCAAACTGGAAACCACCTGCTGTTAAGTTGCTATTCATATAGATTGAACAACCGGCTCGGTGACACCCTTAGCACAGTTTGTGTTTTTGTCCCGAAGCATGATAACTGAATAACGAGAACCGATTAACATTATAGATTAGGCGCTCCGAAAGCAATAATCTTGTATTTTGTTTTAAATATCAGTTGCCTATTTCTGGAACTCAGTGAGCATCAACGGGTTCATGTGTGTAGGAGGTTGCAACTTTTTGGGCGACTAGCGAGATGGCATCATATGAACGCCAAGTACTTCTAGGGTAATCGGTCCAAATGACTTAGTGAGTGGCAGAACTCACACCTTGTTGTTGACACGTTACTAAAAGGCACAGCACATTCATTTCTGGTACGATCCCTCAGGTAGTTTTCGATAGCTTAATTGCGTAAAGGCAAGTGAATTATTTTGGATGCAATTTTCCTGACCAGTTACCCATTATGCTCATCAAGTTACCGTTAAGTGCTTAGTGATGTGCACTGAGTGTCAGACAACAAAGGTACCCCAGCATTGTTAATCGTACACCTCACCAAGTTCCTGTTGAGCAGTTAGATGTTTCTGGTCATCTGAGTCAATGTACTGGTTATGTACACTTGAAGAAATGTTGATAAGCATGTTCTTGATTAAGAATCCCTGTATAGGGTAAAATACTATATGCACAGAGAGGAATCTGGATGTCTGTGGCTATAAGGTAATGATGATACCAACTGGTGTACAACTACAAACGGTATTGTATTGATTACTGTATTTTTGGAATCGGGAAACATAATACATGATCTTAAGAGCAACTTAGCACAACTTGAGTGTGTTGTTCTCATAACATCAATTAGTATGGTAAGAAGATAAGTTTCACACACCAAAGGACGCACAAATATGGAGCACTTAAGTCAGTATGTGGAGTTTTTGAATCAAGCGTTCGTAATAATTACGTCTAGGAAGGTTCTGGACTACTGAACCGGTTTTCTTCCGGCAAATATTTGGCAGGAGGGTTGCGAACACAAACTACTTGCTCTTTGAAGATTACACGGTTCTTTTCAGTACCAATTGGATAAGATCTTATTGTTGCTCGCGTATGTCGTATGGTCCATGTAGGTAAAGCAG